CCGGCGAGGGAGCAAGAGGAGATGGGGAGGGAGGGCTGGAGGGGCTTGAAGAGGATGACGCTGTTCCGAGCAGCTGCGAAGGAGGAGCCGTCCACTGACACTGCCAGCTCGACCGGCCCCTCCTCCTCCACCTGGGGGATCTTGACCACTGCTGACCCCTGCTGGGGTCGTCCTGGGAGACTTCCAGCTGCTGGATCTGGAGGAGAAGCTCCTTCTTGGAGGGCAGGCGGAGGCGGACGAGGAGGTGGGGGTGGGGGTTCTTCAGGTGTACCCTTAGCTCCCCCCAGCTGAAGGGCAGCAGTCCGGGACCAGGTCCAGCACCTCCGGCATAAGGTAGTAGGTGACGGCAAGCTGGGAAGTAACGTACTGCTGGCCGTTGAGCGCGAGCTCGATCGTCGCCGCTCCTGGCAGCATGCTGGGGGAGAGGAACTCTATCGCCTCCTCCTCCTCCCTCCACTTGCCCTCCACCGTAACCACCTGCTTGCTCTGGCTGTTGATCATTCGGACCTTGGCGAAGGAGGAGGAGGCGGGTCGGAGCCCCTGGCCTCGCAACAGCAGCGGCAGGTTGCCGTCGGCGAGACGCATCGCAGGGTCGACGGAGGAGAGGAGGGGGAGGGAGTAGAAGGAGAAGGAGGAGGAGGAGGAGGAGGAGGAGGTGAAGTTGTTGCCGTCGTCCATCGAGACTTCAACCCTGCAGGTTGCAGTGCGCGACATGCGGGGGGTATCGAAAACAATGAGCCCGCAGGACGGATCGAAAACTCCCCTGCACAAGAAGACCTCCTCCCTGGCCTTCCTCTCTCCCCCCTCTTCCTCCTCTCCCTTCGTCGCAGGAAGCGGGAAGGAGAGTGATATCCTGATCCTGTCGGTCTGAAAGAACCCGTTCCCCCTCACCCGCACCTGCGTCCCTCCTCCGACTGGGCCGCAGTCCGGCTCGAGCTTGAAGATGGTAGCCGGAGCGAACGCGACCATCCTGTCCTCGCACACCGCTACCTGCCTGGCCTCGCATCCCTTCAAGTCCACCAGAGTCGGTACCAGCACGTCCTCCTCCCTCCCGCTCCCCATTCTCCTCTTGCTCCCGCTCCCCCACGCGTACACCCTCCCCCCCTCGGTCAGTGCCACAGTGAACTGGCCCCCACACAGCATCCTTCTCACTCTCTCCTCCTCCAGCTCTCCCTTGATCCACTTAGGGATGCTCTGACTGAGCAGGTCGCCATGCCCGAGCTGGCCCCGCACCCCGAACCCCCAGCTCCATCCTCCTCCCTCCCTCGTCCAGCAGCAGGCGTGTCCGAACCCGCACGCCACCCCCTCGATCTCCAGCTCCTCCCCAGCTCCCTCGTGCGGATCGAACATGATCCTTGTCGGGCTCAGCTGGCGAGGAGCTGCCCTGCCCAGTCCCAGCTGGAGCAGGGAGTTGTCACCCCACATGTACAGCCTCCCCTCCTCAGTGACTGCCCCCGTGAAGTTCCATCCAGCTGATACCCACTTGATCCTCTGCTTCCCGAGACTGCTCACGAACCTACGGCAGACGTCAAGGGCTCGAGAGCTTCTCATCTCCCTCCCTCCTCCTGCTCTTCAATCTCCTTCCTCCCCAGCTCCCTCCCCTCCTTCTCCTGTCTGCTCCCCCTCTTCCTCCTCTTGCTCCTCCCCTTTCCCCTTTACCTCCCAACCCCCCTCCGAACTCTTCCCTCTACCATCCTCGTCCTGGTAGCAGTCCTTCTCCTCCACTTCCCCTCTCCCTCTCCCCTCTCATCATCATCATCATCATCATCACCACCACCACCACCACCACCATCATCATCATCATCATCAGCAGCAGCAGCAGCAGCAGCAGCAGCAGCAGCAGCAGCAGAATTAGTATCCTCCTCCTCCTCCTCCTCCTCCTCCTCCTCCTCCTCCTCCTCCTCCTCCTCCTCCTCCTCCTACCTTGGCACAGGAGAGCTCTCCATCCTCCCCAGCCCCAGCTGACCGTCGGATCCCCTTCCCCACGCGTACATGTCGCCTTCCTCCGTCAGGCACACGGAGTGATACTCCCCGCACGCCATCATGGTCACTCTCCTGTCCCTCAGGGAAGGGATCACCCGTGGAACCCCGGCTCCTGCTGCTGCTGCTGCTGCTGCTGCTGCTGCTCCTGCTCCTGCTCCTGCTCCTGCTCCTGCTCCCGCTCCCGCTCCCGCTCCCGCTTCCCCCGGATACCCTGCCACAACGTGAGGTTGTCATCTACGGGCCCAGCATGTACCGAGCTGCCCGTAGGTGTTCTGCCCCCCTGACAAGAGCACTCCCTCCGAGGAGAGAAGGAGGGTGTGCTGGCTTCCACTGGCCACCTGCTGGATCCTCTCTTCCAGCTGTACCTGTGACGCTTCTCAGCTCGATGACGCAGCAGATGTCTTTGGAAGTCACCGCAGAAACACCAAGGTTGCTCCTCCCACTGTGCAAGATCGTCCCCTCCTCCGTGATCACTACGATCTGCCCGAACCCTCCGCTTACGTTGAGCAGCTTCCTCCCTTCGCAGTCCTTGGCGATCCTCGGGAGGAACAGCGGGTTGGGGCGCCGCGGTGCTGAGCTCTCCCCCCCTCTCCGTCCTTCTCCTCCTCCTCCTCCTCCTCGAGCCTGATGTCCTTCAGCTCCTCGACCTGCCCAGCTCCAACTTCAGCTGGACCCCTGTCACCTTCCGCTACTCACATCCTTCGTCATCCTCTGGAAGAACTTCGGCAACTCACAGTCTTCCTCCTCCTCCCACCCATCGCCCCAGATGATCAGGGTGCCTGCTTTTCCTTCCGCCTGCTCCTCCGATCACGGATGTTGAAGTGACCAGTCACTTCTTACCTCCTTGACCTGCGCTGTTTCCAGCCTCTCCGTCGCAGGCGTCTGCGAGATCATGGTCCCGCCCCTTCCGTGCTGGTCCTCTGCCTGCTGACGGCTGCAAAGAGGGAGAGAGGGGAGGAGGAAGGGAGGGGAGCGGGAAGGAGGCAGAGAATGGAGCAGGATGAGGGAATGAAGGAGGATGGGTGGATGGATGGATTAGGGGAGAGCGAAGCGACAGATGAAGAGGACATGGACAAGGACAAGGACAAGGACAAGGACAAGGACAAGGACAAGGACAAGGAGGAGAGAGAGGAGGAAGAAGAGGAGGAAGAGGAGGAAGAGGAGGAAGAGTAGGAAGAGGAGGAGAAAGAGGAAGAGGAGAAAGAGGAGAAAGATGGGTCAGCATGGCAATGTTGGATCTGAGTTTGCCTACTGCTTGGCATCATCGCTCCCGCTGAAGGGACGAAGCCGAGCCCATGCCTGCCCGTCAACATGAGCATGACAAGAAGGAACAGAGGCTGCAGCGGGTAGGTGGAAAGGGATGGATTCTAGCATACTCTTGAGGGACGGGGAGGGAAGTTGGGGGGAGTGGCAGGAAGTAGCGGGAGGGGGAGAGGGAGTGGAAGAAGGAAGAAGGTAGGTGAAGGGAGGGCAAGGATTGGGAGACGGAGGAAGAAGCA